AGAAAATGTAAAATAATTGGAACCCAATCCGGGACTTTTGATTAGCAATTAATCAAGAGATTTATTTAAATCCTGGGTTGTTCATGAACATTCTTGGTTTAAAACAAAATTAAAAGATACAAAGTGACAGTGATAAAACTAGACCTAATAACCCCACTGATCAATGGAGTTATTGAATCGAGTTTTATCATTTTGTGTTTATCGTCATGTGCGTTTGATTAAGTGTGATGCACTCATTCTTTGGAGGAATGAACAACGTACTTCTATTCGAGTCCGTCGAATTCCATTGATTGGTATGAAATGCCTCAATACATTTTCGGCTGTATACCGTTTTTGGATGTTCTATCTCTTTTAGGTTGTGTTTCGAGTACATAGTAATCGTGTCCTCGTACTCATCAGTATCAAATAATTACTATGGAACTAATACCTCATGCACGGTTTAATGATTTTACTTGGATTTCGTGGCTTATCACATTTTTTCGCATTCATCTTGTTGCTGTTTTACTCCTCTATAAGAAGGCGGGCGGACCGGGACTCTATATTTATCGGGAAATCTATGTTCATTTCATGTATAATCAAACGTGATCATCTTCGTTGAGTCCAATTAGAAATAACCAGTCAATATCTGTTGAGAGTAAAGCATAAATTCCGGACGACGTCTTCAACTCCGTTGCGGATTTACTACACAGCATATGGTCGCAAGAGTGCGTTCCGCCATCTTGGAGCGGAGCAATGATCTTTCGAACTTTGGTAGAAGCATCTTGTAATGATTGCGCAAATACATAATTTTTTAACTTCAGTGAAACATCTTGTCTACGTCAAAGGTTTCAGTCCTGCGTATGCTACTCGAGCCTTGGAAATGCGAGAGGCTATCTCCTTTGTTGCGCTTCTGTCATTGGTCACGCAACTACCTAAGTAGGAAAAGTAATCCACCACAACTAAATCCTGGCCATTTAGTTTCAGAGTAGGAGTAGGCGACATCGGGTCCTGCAGCATCGGTTTGCAATTCGAAGGTGCTAAGCACATACCGAATGTGGTAACCGCACTTGTTAGTCTATCAAGTGCGTTTCGCACGTCCTGCGTTCATTCGAACAGACGGACGTGGTCATCGGCTTACTCCAAGTCGCACAAGTTTTCTCCAGCTGTCCATTCAATACCTACGTTTTGGAGACCACCAAGTGCGTCCTCTAGTATTTTTCCTACGACGAAATTGAACAGAGATGGCGAAAGAGGGCACCGTTGACGTACACCACGCTGTTATAAACCCTCACTCGACCAGAGGTATGTGAGTTCAGTGACTTCAGTGGGTTAACGTACTTCTGGGGCATTCCTTTTCGTAGAAGGGAACCCATCAGAGCTTCGCGGTCAACTGAGTCGAAGGCTTTTTTCAGGTCAAGGAACACTGCGGTGGTTGATCGACGGTGGGTGTGACGCAGCTGAAGGACCTGACGCAACGTAAATATGTGATTAATACATCCATGCCCAGGCCGGAATCCGGCTTGCTGTTCACGGATGTTGGTCTCTTAAAGGCGTCAGACGTCGGAGTATAACCGAATTAGCACTTTGGTGANAATTGTGGTGGGATCCTTTATTGAAAATGGGAACGATCAGTGATTCGCCCAAAGATGAAGGAATGCGCTCTTGCATCCACATATTGTGCATTAGGGTATTAATAGATCTTACGAGGTTATCGCTGCCTATTTTGAAAAGAGTGGGAGGGAGTTTATCCGGTCCTACCGCCTTTCCTCGCTCCAGAGCTTGAATGCAAGACCGAACTTCTGCTTCTGCCGGAGAATCGCGCAAGGCTGCCCACGGGGCTTCAGTTACAGATGAAGTAATCTGGCTAGTGGTAGGCCAGCTGAACTGTTCGC